CCGGCACATCCCTCAGCCCGCACTGCTTCCCGTAGCCCCCATTGGCCTGGAGCGACGAACCGTGGCCAGTGGGAGCTGTGATCGGCCAAACCTGCGGACGCGGCAGGTAAACAAACCGGCCCGGCCCACCAGGGTGCTTACCCTAGCAGGCCGTTTACCCTGGCAGGCCGCGTGCCAAAGGTTGCCGATCCCTGCTCTAAGGGTCATAATTTTTATTTTCTCACCCATCTCTTAAATCCTTGGTGGTTGAGGCAGTTAACAAACATGGTAGGCAGAACTACACTAAATCTACACTCTATGATAAAAATCATAAGCATCAAAATCTGATTCAACTACTTTACAGTTTAGAATCGCCAACTATCTGGCCTTACTGGTGAAGTACAACTGCACAAATTATACCAAGCTAAACTCCTTTATTGACCATCAGCCGACAGAACACAGAGAGCAGTTCAAGTCACTTATTGCAGAAAACCAACTCCTCACAGGATATCTCTGCAGGCTTCTCTCAATGCTGCCAATGCTACTACTTATTCTATTTCTACAGCAATAGTTATGAAGAGGGCCTCCTGACTTCCCAAAGCAGGTCCAGAATATGATAGAGGACCTGCCTTTTGATGGCACTAAGTTGTTTGCTGGCAATACAGATGAATCCCTGCATACATTAAAAGTTTGAAGAGCCACTTTACAAACTCTGGGGAGCTACACACGTATTCTGAAGAGAAAATTTAGTAGGTCCCAGAAAGCACAGATTCCCATCCTGTGCAGTTTCTGAGTTAGCAGAGGCCATACAAACCTCACCACAAGAGGCAGAGGTTTCAGAGGAGGAAACTACTCATCTCCCAGCCTTCAACTTCACAACTTTGCTCTTCAAAGGATCAATTTTGATGGGAAGGTTGGGGTCCTGAGCTGCCATCCTCTTTCTTACCAGCTGTAATGCTTCACATGCCTTCCTCCATTCAGCAACTGCCTTCACCATAACGACGGACAAATGGGTTTTAGAGATCATTTACACAGGGTACTCTATCCACTTCAATTCTCTTCCACTCACCAATCCTCCTTCCCTCTTCAGGGACTCCTCCCACGAGAACCTGCTATGGCAGGAAATAGACTCTTTTCTACACCTGTGTACTATAGAATCAAGTTCCACACAGTTCAGAGGGAAGGGGTTTTATTCCAGGTATTTCCTGGTTCCAATAAAAAAAAATGATGGTTGGAGACCCATCCTAGATTTAAGACTCCTCAACACATTTGTGAAGGCACAAAAATTCAGAATGGTGACACTTGCAGTGATGATCCTATCACTCCTATCATTGTAGTATGTAAAGGCACAACTTGGACTTCTATCCATACATTTGCTGTAATAATTCATGACACTGCTTCTGATACCATGTTTGGCTCAGCTGTACTTTCTTCCATACTGAACTGGACTCTGAAGCTCTCTCCTCCTTAAAGGGGAACTGCTTGGTAGTCAGCTAGAGTGGGGCATTCATGGGGACACTACTTGAAGAAGAAATGGTCATTCACCCTGTGCAGTAACTGTGGTTCTTTGAGGTGTGTGTTCCCATGTGTTCTCCACTACCCGCTCTCCTTTCCTTCTGTCATGGGGCTTCGTGGAGGTTAGCCTGTGCAATGCTATATAGCAACAGCGTGGGGCACGAGGCTGAGTAACACGCAAGTGCAGGCCTAATGGACATTGCTATGAGCAATCTCCTATCAAAAGCGCAGGGAGTGCAAGTGCACCTAGAGTGGAGCACCCTTAGGGGGACAGGACACATCTTGAAGAACCACAGTTACTGCACAGGGTGAGTAACCACTTCTTCATGTTTTGTTGGCATCATAACTTGACAGTTTCAGCACAGAGGTAAAGGGGGAAGAGTCTCAACAATTCTTCTACCTTTAGAGAAACTGTGTTAACGTTGTCTTTAGGCACATAGGGTAGGGTGTCATGGGGAATCTTGCACTGTGGCTGCCATTGTGTGGATATTTTCCTCTGATTAAACAGATTTCAGCTTAAAATGCTGTCAATCACACTCCTTGTGATCACTAAAAAGATAATGAAATAAAGTTCATACTTGATTGGCTGTGCTGCATTATAAACCTGTTCAAAGCTATTTGATGTACCAAATACTTAAATTATATTTGTATTTTTTCAAAGGTCGAGTAAACATTGTTGACTTACAACAGGTAATTTTTTGTTATTAAAAAAATGCATATACTTTGTTTCTCCATTTATACTCTATCAGTCAGTCTCTAAGTAAGTGCTGATGTTGAAGTGCTGTATAGCAGCAGTTGCAAAATTGGTGGCACTTCTCACTAACTTTGACTACTTTGTCCATTTGTGTATCACTTCACAAATGTGGTATTCATGCTTACTCTGATTTTGAGATAAATATTACTATACTCTGTAGTACTGTGACACTCTTTAAAATTACCCCTAAAAAAAGAAGCAGGGCTTTCTTGATGATTTGAATATCTCTGCTTTCTTAAATTGAGAAGTACAGGTGGATAAGAAATGTCTGCCTTTGCTAAAATTTAGAGCGATGGTGTCATACAGTGAAATATAATAAATTTTGCATGGGTCCTCTCTCTTCCTTCATTAATCTCTTGTTTCCACTAACCTCTATCTCCCAGTAATCTTCTGTGACTAATTTTTCCTTCTGTCTTGAGCAAAATTGCTTGAAATCAGAAAACTTTCTATAAGACAATGAGTGTTTCTGTTCAGAGCTTTACAAAAATCCTAATTTTCTTGGACCCTTTAACCTAGTGGTAATTGCAAGAGATTTTTTTAAAAGCACAAATGCTTCTGTTCCAAGCCCCAGACTTACTTGCACATAAATACGATAGAGTAAATAAAAAGCAGATATCCTTTTTAAAGTATAGTGTCTTAATGTCTGAAAATTAATTTGAATTTAAGGGACTGATGGATTTATTTTTTTCCAGATAATAAATGTAGACCTGGTCCATATTGAAAGCCGAGCTAATGACATTGTTAAATCAGACAGAACTATTCAGCTGGTGCTGGGACAGTTTATAAATGAGTGAGTATCTTCAGGAGAAATGTATACAGTGGTCCAGAGATATGACTTTAGATGTTATAGGTGCAGTATAACTATAGTCTTCTATTATTAATTATGCTTCAGAGCTTATTCTTGAGGCAGAGAATAGACTTTCGTGGACCAGAACCAGTGACGTGCTGAGCACCCTCGTCTCCCATAAAAATCCATGTTCAGGTCCCTTTGAAAGGAAAAAATGTGTGTGTTTTTATGAGGGGGTTGTGAAGTTAATTCTTCTTGTTCCATACAAGGAAATAAAGGAACAGGTTGCAGACTAGTGGGTTGGTTAGCAGAATTTTAAAAATACGACTTTTTCCGTGTAATAGTTGTACTGAGCAAGATGAATTCTCACAGCCCATCTATTTCTATTTTACAGTAAGTTCCAGTGTATTTATGCATACGCTGGAAAAATGTTTACTCTGAACAAATAAATTAATAATGAGACAGGATAACTATACTTAAAGAGATGCAAGTTGAATTGGGAACGTCACACTAATGTCTTTTCTTTCTGGTTTTACATAAGGAGTTACCTAGACCAATTAGCAGAAGAAATAAACGATAAACTACAGGAAACTGGTCAGGTGACAATATCTGAACTCTGCAAGGCATACGACCTTCCAGGAGACTTCTTGATACAGGTTACTGCATGTTATCTACCCTTGCATATAGAAATGTTGAATTCTGATTTGAAGAAATAGTTCCCTCTTATAGCAACTTTATTATCCAGGAAACAAAGATGATAGTTATATGAAGTCTTGGGTAGTGTCCTAAGCAGGTCAGTATTAAATCTCTCTGGTTTGCATTTTAGTGGCTATGAACTGATTTAGATTAAAATTTGCCAGTACAGTATTCCAGTATCTGAACTGAGCTAGGTTTCCTCTCAGCCATTGTGATCCTTTAGGAAAAAGGAATGAACATACTTTAAAGTGTGATCAAAGGATTTGAAAAACTGCCTTTGGGTGAAAGACTTAAGGGCTCAGTCTAGTTAGCTTATCAAAGAGAAGGTTCAGGGCTGAACTTGATCACAATCTATAAGTACCTACCTGGGGAACAGGAATTTGATAATAGGAGTGCTCTTCAATCTAGAGGAGAAAAGTATAACAATATCCATGGGCTGGAAGTTGAAACTAGACAAATTTAGACTATATATTAAGATCCACATTTTTAACTGTAAGAGTAATTCAGCATTGGAACAACTTACCAAGGGTTGTGCAGGAGATCCTCTATCACTGGAAATTTTTAAATTAAGAATGAATGTTTTTCCAAAACAGGCCATAGAACTTCCCTTTCAATGAGAAGTTTTTTTTCAAAGGCCTCATTGAAAGGGAAGTCCTATGGCCTGCATTATGCAGGTATTCAAACTAGATGATCACAAAAGTCCCTTCTGGCTTTAGTCATCTTCTAAACACATTGTCCGGAATATATACACATGCAGTTTCTTTTTTTGTCCCAGATAATCTAAATGTTTTAAGTTACTAATTTGAACGCCGATTCCAATCTTTTTCCTTTTGTGTGGGGTTTTTTTATTTTATTTTTAATTTCTTGCTGTTAATTTCTACTCTGACATCTCAGAGTGGGTCAGGGACTTCCTTTGTCACAGACACAAAAGATTTAACATGAATGTGCAGCCCCAGAAATCCAAGACCAGATGGGTTTCTTTCACAATGTGTTCGTTCTTCATTCACCTGTAAAGATTGTAATATGTGTGGGAGAGGGAATAGTCATTACATAATTCAGGTCATTGTATGTATTATTAAGAAAGCTACTTTAACCTGGCGATTGCAGTTGGGTCAAAATAACACGACCTCACACACACAATCTGTGTGTTTTTTATAGTATCTTCTCAATATTCTCCAGTAACAATTACCATTTAAAATGCATTCTTATTTCTCAATACATTGATTATTTAGACAAATTAACTTTCTAATCTACAGCTTAAATATATTTTCTTCTTTGCTGTGTAACTGTAAACTGTTGTACCAGCATTTATCATAACTTCTGTTCACAGACGTTGTCCCCCCGTCTGGGTAGGATTATCCATGGCCAGATAGATCAGGACAACAAAGGAGTGATTTTTACAGAGGCATTTGTAGCTCGGCATCGGGCACGCATTCGTGGTCTGTTCAGTGCCATTACTAGGTAAGCCCTGACACAAATATCTGTATGTAGAAATGTGTTTTACAGCATTCTTTATGCATACTGATTTATTTGTAATATACAAAAAAGAAAATAAAGGCATATGTAGGAGATCTTTTCAATTACAATTCATTTTACTGTGAGAGAGAATTGTGTACTTTTTTGGCGCAACATGTAATGTGAGCCCAGTCCTCTGCAGATATACGAAGTTACTTGAGCAGCAGGAAAGCCTTATTCCTAGAAAAGGGAAAACTAGTTAGCTAAAATGAGCTAAATTACAATGGGAAAATATTTTGAAAAACTGGCTAAAACTGGTCATGAATTCACTGTGAATTCTTAATTTTCTGGAAAGTGTCCCCCTCATTGACATAATTACAGATTGATACCCAGCAACCACACTTCATTTTTCAGAAATTTGGGTATCAGTTCAATAGCCGTCTTAATGCTCTATCTTGAGCAGGAACTTAGTTAGCAGAAGTTTGTGTGTGTATATATGATATTTACAGTAGTAGTAATACAGTTTTAAACCAGTATGAATTTATAAATTTCATAAATTAAACAACCTGGCAGTAACAGTCTGGCTAAAACACTTGATCAGTTTTGCAGAAAATACCTTTCTTGAGGGAAAAGTCCAGAGGTACTTGTCTTGTTTGTAGATTCTACTTCAATTTGAGAGTCTCTAGGCCTGTTTCATGTTTATTCTTTTTATTCTTTATAGGCCTACTCCTGTAACTAACTTGATCACCCGGTATGGATTTCAGGAACAACTGCTTTACTGTGAGTTTCTTTCAGATTTTGTTTCGTGTATTTAGATTCTTAATTGTTGGAATTAATCATTTCAAATAAACCTTATAGATTTAGTATTGTTTTTGCAATAAATAGCAATTGGTCTCCTTTCCAGTTTAATGAGTAATAAGAAGTGTCTCTATATCTACAGCAATGAAAGCTCATTGATGGAATACCTCTAAGGGAGTGGAATGATGCAAGAAGTGCAATATTCATTTTTGTCTTCTATTTCATTATGTGCACTCAGCTACTGGTATTTTTATCAATGGAGCACACAAAAGGGACAGATTTCACATAGCTGAATGACATTAACTGCACAGGATTTTTATTTATTGACTTTATTTTGCGATAGCTGAGGCAGAGCTTTTGTTATGGTCACAACTAGAGGTCTTAATAAGCTAGGGTTACCATACGTCCGGATTTTCCCGGACATGTCCGGCTTTTTGGGACTCAAATCCCCGTCTGGGGGAAAATCCCAAAAAG